TCATAGTATGCTTATAAAATATGTATACTTAAGTAAATATGTATGTATGCGTGTATGCAAACATGCGTAGTTACACATGAAAATTTATATAAAATAATTTATGTTATAGTTACGCATAGTTTTTTAAATTTTACGCACTTTAACCTATGCAACTGTATCGCAGTGCAAGTTTTTGTTACTGGACATGCAAATTACGAGTTGCAGCTTAGAAACTAAAGTGAGTTGAACAAAAAAGAACAAAAGTGAAAGAAATATAAAACAAATAATCCCTTTGTAAAAATAATTTTAATTGTATTTTGAAGGGTTGCCATCGAAAAGAGCAGCTATATTAGTAGGGTGAATAGTAATTAAATTATTGTAAAGTAATGAACAGTCAAATTTATTTGAAATGATGATATATGAAATGGTTTATAAATTGAAAACCTATTTAGAATTTCATTTTATAAAATTTTTCAAACTTATTTAATTTTTTATGAATTTTTTTGATTTTAAATTTTTTTAGTTAAAATTTAGTATTTTATGTAGCAAGGAGTCAGCACTTGGACAAGGTGTTACTCTTGAAAATAACCTTTTTTTCTAAATTAAATTTCAAGAAAGTTTTTACTCAATAATTAGCTGTCTTATGTATGAGGCATTCCCTACTCAATACAGACATTGAGCGCACTTAAAAATGATACAATTTTTCGCAAAAAAAACGTACTATAAACCTTACATAATGACTTTTCTAACCTCAAAGCAATTTGCTTTTAAACTTGCTAAAGAAAAAAACAGTAACCGATTTTCGTACCGAAAAATACATTTTTTACAAAATGCAGCTCTTTCCATTCCCATTTCCATGGGAGCGTATCAGCTATAAAGTTATTCATGATAGTGGTAGTAACTATTATTCATATTAAATGTTTTTTAATAAAAAAATCTAATTTTTTTAGGTAAACCGTTGAAGGAATATTACTTTAATATACAGCTAAATCCAGTCGGCTGGAGGTATACTGTGATTTTAACTAAGCAATAACTTAGCTGTGTATTTAACATAAAATCCTTTACTTTTCGCCTTATGGATTAATAATAGATTGGCTTACACATATGTTAGTGTTTGGCCAAGCTTCTCCTTCGATTTGAGGCGTGCGCCTTGATATTGTCACACAAAGGGGAGGGACCTACAGTTTTACGCCGACTCCGACCGGCGATTGTATGTGAAGCTGTTTTCATTGCGCTGCATATTATGAGGAAGTATTTTCCTGTACTTACAGCTCTTTCCAAATTTAAGAAAATATAATTTTTTTTATTATAAAAGTATAGTAATTTTAACCTTTGATACCTTTGAGCGACGATTAAGCAGCTTATCTTCTCTAAAACAAATTAAAGCGTGCAACAAAACGCGTTCTTCAATAACAGCCTGTTGCATTAAGCTATATTCTCACTTATGTAAAATTCACTTTCGTGTAATTGTGACACACATCTATGTACTATCTCACACTTTTGCCTTCTGTCCTCTCTCTGCTATGATTTTCGCATTTAATTTCTTACCAAAATGGACACCAACCAATGAAACACTGGCATAAGTTTTCATTATTGGTCGCCTGTTGTATGAGCAGATCCACTTGCTGTGGCACCGCCACACTATTCTGCGTTTGGAAGTCAGTGCCATTTAATTTGCTCTTCACGCGTTTGATGACCTTGCTCGCTTTGCTGTTTGTTATGTCGGCCACCATCATGGGCCCACCTACCATCAGATTGGCGCTCATTAGTTGACTGTGCAGCAACGGTTCTTCCACTGAGTTGCTAAGACTGCCATTACCGCCACCCAACATGCCCGAACCACCTGGATCATTATTTGATTTGGAACGAAGATTTTTGTCCATATCCAGCAAACGCCAATTTATCAGCGGGTCATAGACGAATGCCTCCAGCACAGCCATAAGCGAATCTTTGTTGCGTCGCAACACCAACATGACACTCTCGCAAGTGCGTCGATATGTACCCTCGATACCCGTCACTTCCATAGCCTTGATAAGCATGCGCGTCAGGCGGAAAGGTATCTTTACGGGGAATTTTTCGCGCGTCATTGCAACCTCAAAGCAATCACCGAAATCTATGTGCAGTATTTTGCCACTCATGCGATCCAACATCAGATTGGAGGGATGGCGATCGCCTAGGCCGAGTATGTAGCCTACCATGGACATGACGGCGAGTGAACGTGTATAGTTTGTACGTCGCTCGAACCACACCTCCGACGATGGTGACTTTAGCCACAGTAATTTTGCGAGATCATCGTCATGCGTTTGCGCTAGCGCGCCCTCAAACACCTCAACTTTTTGCATTAAGGTCAAATAATCATAGTCGGGCGAGACGCTCAACATGAGACGATGCTCCTGATTGAGCGGCATCTTTCGCTTGTCGCGGTAGTCTCGTATTAGCGTGTGTAAGGTGTCGCAATGTGGCACCCAACCGATGAGACCAGAGTTGGTGCTCAATGGTATGACGGCATAACGTTGTATGGCCAGATTGCGACGGAACGTGTCTGGATCGTCGAGTAAAAGTGTATTGACCAGCGAGAAAAGTTGCATGACACGCTCATCTTGATGCAAATCCTCGTGGCCCTTCAGCAGATACATATAATCTTTGCCGTTGGAGCCACGCAGACAAAGCTTACGTGGACGCTGCTTTGAAGTGATCACCTGCAGATTGGTTTTAATGTAGTCGATGCGTATCAATTCCTGATTGGGATTATAGGAGCCGGGCACAGCCAATTCCAGATTCTTGCATGCCAGCAATTTGGGCGATACATAGGGCAGTTCGAGTGAGGTCAGCTGTGGCAATTGGCGTGTATTTTTTTGGAAAACGTGATAATAGATGTCCCAAGCGTGATCCAAATCCATCAGTGCAGAAGAAGTCTTGTAACGTTGTGTCCACTCGTACGCTTCGGTTAGTTCACGACCGTAAGCCTGCGAGAAGGATGCCTCCTTCAGCGTCCGTGGTCCGCGTTCGTGCAGCGCGTGCAACGGCTCGAGTATATCAAACATGCCCTTCACATTGCGATCACCAAAGTAAAGACGTGACGCCTCTTCTAGTCCCTCATGCCACTGTTCGTGCCAAAGTATGGCAACGCGTATCAGTTCCTCACTGCACATCATCGCCTGCTCGACAAGCGCCACCGATGCCGATTTGGAAGCCACAGTCAGTGGGTAGACGAGTGCTTGTGGGTGGTATTTGCCTATGTCGATGAGCAGATGATGTATTAACTGATTGACCAGCTTGCGGTGCGTGTCGATGCGCGCAATAAGCTGTGGTATCACCTGCAACCAAGTATTGATCTCGATCGTCTTCATGCCAGTGAGCAGTGCGTCATAAATTTCTGAATATGGGCCATAGTCAAACCAGAGCGTTAGTAGGCGCAGTGTGTCTTGCAAGGAATTGCCTTTGATGAGGCTGATGGAGCGGAAGAAGCCGTCTACCGCCTGAACGGCATACTGTTCGATCATCAGCTTCTCCTTCTGCAGCAGTACGTCGCCGTTCACAGTCGTATGCGCCAGCTTATCGAGCTGCTGCTTCTGCGCTTGCACCACCTTGAAGTTCATGTATGCCCATATATGCCACGCCTTGTAGCAGGTGGGATCATTCTCAGTCGCCTTCTCGAAGCAGTCCAAAGCACCCTGCACCATTTCAGGCTCCAGCGAACTCTGCAACTTGTTCTGCCACTTGCCCAGCCGCAGATAGCAGCGCGCTAGCAAGCGATGATCCGCCTGTTTGGTCGCCTCCTCGGGGCCGATACAATTCAATTGTGCACGATAAGCATTTACAAAGCGGCTGAGCTGTTCGTAGGCACCCTGCATATTCTCGGCGGCAGCCATGTGCTACGTGTAGGCATAAGTGACCTGTGGCTGATTGTAAGGCAGTGGCTCATTCGGTTGTGCCAATGGATCTGTGCCCAGTAGCATTACCAGTGTCTTGTGCGACAAATGGAGCGAACCCGATTTGCGACACAGACTGGCATATTTCAACCAAGTGTGCACGTCTTCCTGCGGGCGCACAACCAACGAGTGTACCTGTATGATGCGGCGCCAATCTTCAACCAAACGCTGGCCACCTTGCAAACGCTTCCACCACATGCCCTTCAGCGGTTCACGCCGTTCGGGTATGAGCTTGTATTGTATTACTTCTTCCAATTCGGCCAACATCTGCACACAAACCATAGCGCCATAGGCACGTTCATACGACTCACCAGCCATGGATGTGAGTTCCGAGTCGAGCAGATCACGTGTGCCATCAATTAGACGCTGCGCCGTCTCAAAGTCCTCATTGTGCACGGCGAGCACTGCACGATAGAAGCTGCCGTCTTGTGTCTCTTCCGGAATGCAGCGTACATACTCTTGCATGGCCTCCCAATCTTGGAGGCCCCAGGCGGCGACAGCAGCCAACGGACCTGCGCGAGATCTGGCCTCACGGCCCAAATTGTCCCATTCCTGTTTTGCGAGAGTACTTAGCTCCGACCACTCGCCCAACGCTTCCAGACATCGCATATGACCCAGCCGAGCTTCCAGATCGTTGCAATTATCTTTTAGATTGCCGGAATAGTGTTTAAGGGCTTGCTCCCAATTGTGCAGTTTTTCGTACCAACGACCTTGTACTTTGAACTCATTGCTGGCGTTGCGGTAGGTGGTGAGTAGGCCTTCAGCAGCTTCCTTTTGCTGAAGCTTATTGTTGATGAGTATGAGGGATTCAAGCACCTGCGAAGAAATTAAAAAGATAAACATGAGATGTTTTAAAAAATAGTATTTAGGGGCCACGCAATGTAATGAAAATATCATCCGCCAGGTGGCGCTGGCGGTGAAAGTTCCTATTTAGGGTCCGATTTTTTTTCATAACTACCAGAGCACAGAGGTCTACGTCTTCGCCCCATCACAACTTACAAATATAGATACATATACATACATATATAGGAAATATCATGATAAAAACCATGATACAAAAAAGAAGGTAGTTTCAATAAACAACTTTTTGAGTAAAAAGGAGATTTTTGACAATTGCTCAAATGTAAAAAATTCGAAGCGGCGTTACCCAATGTAAGTTTTTTGGTGGAGGGATTTATATCCTAAATTTGATAGCATAAATAAAATAGTTGTATTAACATTTACCTTCTAAAAATAATAAATATCTTATCTTAAAAACGTTCAAATTTTACATTAAATTCGATAACTACTTGCCGAAATCTTTACTTTTACATTAATAAAATTGTAGTGAACATATTTTAACATTTTTTTAGTGCCATTATGTCATCTGATTATTACACAATATAGCTAGCCAGGACTATTACAATTTTCTATATTGGATACGATTGTTTCTGATAACTCGAGTTACGTCAACCACAGGATTTTCGCGCAAAATACCTTTCCACGTTGTGGGCTTTCGGCAGCGCTTAGATAAAATAATCCTCATCAGTCCAACTCCGTCTACGCTGACCACAGTATTTTTTACAAAAAGGTCCATATTTCAAACCGAATTTATTCATAAATCTGTATCTGAAAATTTGAAATATTTTTTTAAACTAACGTTTAATTGTTTGACCACACGTGTGTGTTAACATTTTTCGCTTTGGATTAAGCGTTTGGACACAATAACCCAAAATTATTGTACAAATAACCTAGCCGTACCCAACAAGATACCTTTTGCTTTTACTAATTTCGATTCTAAGAACGAAATGTTTGTAAATAAACCAAAAATTAATAAGAAAAATTGGAGGATTTTAGATATTGGATACGGTAGCATGAAATGTCACAATCTACTTAATTGTCAGGTTGTTAATATGGCGACGAAAAAGTGACAATGGAACTACCTTCTTTTTTGTATCATGATAAAAACATTACAAGGTAAAATCATTGAGGCAGTCTGACGTTTGCCAACAATACAATTTTAAAATTCGAGCTCGGCTCACACACACATTCTCATTTTAAATCTAAACAACAACAATTGTGAACAATTTCATTTTTTATTTTCAATTTTATATGATTTTAAAATGTTTGCAAATGTCAGAAAAAAATCATGGCCGACGAATTGAGAGAATGGTTTTACCTTCTAATGTTTTTATCATGGGAAAATTTGTTTGCAGCTCTGCAACCACTGTGCGCCACTGCTGTACATAAAACTACGCTTACGCTATTTAGGAAAGATGTTTGCCGAAAATTAGTGAAGGACGTAAACCACGTCCGTCACGCTAGCTGACCCACTTCTCCGAAAAATGATAAAAATTACTCAGGAATTATGTGCAATTTAGGGCCTCCAAAATTAATTTCGGTGCACACTCGGTTTCCGAAATATTCGCACTAAACTTCGTCGAACACTGGTAAATATTATTCAGGAATAAGGTGCAATTTAGGGCCACCAAAATTAATTTCGGCGCACACTCGTTTTCCGAAATATTCGCACTAAACTTCGTCGAACACTGGTAAATATTATTCAGGAATTAGGTGCAATTTAGGGCCACCAAAATTAATTTCGGTGCACACTCGGTTTCCGAAATATTCACAAAAATGTGATTTGGGTCAGCTAGCGTGACGTCACTTAAATTAGTGAGCACTTAAATTAATTTTGAAGATCCTAAATTGCACCTAAATTCCACTTCATTCCTGAGTAATTTTTATAATTTTTTGAGGAAGTGGGTCAGCTAGCGTGAAGGACGTATGTACGTAAACCCGCTGATACGTAAACACGAATCAGCTGACACGATCTATCTTACCCGAGCGCCATGTAAATGAAAACTCAACGACGCAGAATTTTTCGATAGTTGTAGCCCGTAGCGCAGAAATTCTGCGTTGTTGAGTTTTCATTTACATCACCGTCTGGTAAGGTAGATCGAGATTTCAGCATAACCATAAACGCGTGATAGGGATACGGTCAAGCAATGCGAAATATTCTTGCGTTTTGCATAATATTTTACACTTGAACTTAAGATACTTCTTTCGAAAGACTAAGTATATATTTAAAACAACAAGTACTAAAAATTAAAATAATACATAAAAAAGAGGAAACAAAAAGGAAAAAATAAATAAAACAAGTTTCTAACAAGTAATTTTTCAATTCTCATATAAAACTTTAAGATTATCGTTAATTTCTTCACGATGCAATTATCGGATATAAACCAAATTAGTATGGGACCACGCTTGAGGTAAATCGGTTAACGTGGTCCAAAGTTATGCGGTAACATACATAAAAAAAATATATCGAGGCCTAACCGCCAAAATAACGTAAGCGAAATTTTTTTCAAATTTTCTTTTTGATGCAGAAATGCATCTAAATCCTCTAGGAATATTTCTGCATCAAAAAGAAAATTTTGAAAAAAATGTCGCTTACGTTATTTTGGCGGTTAGGGCTCGATATATTCCGATAACCTCCTCCAAAAATATTTTTCTTTTCAAAACAATAAAATGTAAAAATTACAAGATAATTAAAAAAAAATTAAAAGAATAAAATATGTAACTAAAAATTAAATTAAATTAAAAAGAAATATTTTTCTTTTTACAACAATAAAATCTAAAAATTAAAATAAAATGGCACCCTGAAATTGTGCATATGGAAACTGTGCATACGAAATAACGCATATGAAAAAAACCGAAATAATGCATACGAAAAAAACCGAAATAATGCATATATGCACAGTTTCGGCTGAAAACCGAAATAATGCATATGAAAAAAACCGAAATAATGCATATATGCACAGTTTTGGTTGAAAACCGCAATAATGCATATTAGAAAAACCGAAATTATGCATATGCACACTTTCGTTTGAAAACCGAAATAATGCATATGAAAAAAACCGAAATAATGCACATATGCACAGTTTCGGTTCAAAACCGAAATAATGCATATGACAAAAACCGAAGTAATGCATATGACAAAAACCGAAATAGTGCATGCATACCTTGTTTTTTGTATCATGGTTTTAATAAAAGTTTAGTTGGAAAATATTTTTTGTTCGAGTTGTTTATTCGATTTTTATTTTGAGCGCCAAGTTCGGTGATGTCAACTGGCTCCCTTGGAGCCGCGATTTCACGCCGTTAGACTGTTTGGTGACATGCCGTGAACGACCGGTTTTAGTTATGCGAACAATCTATTAACGATTCAGGCCCTTAAGACGAATGTCGGACATTGCTTGAGATAGAGCCAGAAAACGTCACCAAGGTCTTGGACCTCAGACCTCAGAAAAGCCTGGACGAATTTACTTGAAACATTTGCAATATTTAATAAGGTTTTTTAACAGTGTTGCCATCTGTTTAAAAAGTTAAATCCATTTTTGGCGTATTAACGACATGCGGGTTCACTAGTTTTTTCATATTACAATATGAATGTCAATCGAAAGACGTATAAGAAAGCTTTGTTTAGAAAATATTTTTAAATGGGGTTGCCACCTGTTAAAAATTCAAACTTAATTTAATTAATAAGTAAATGAATTATTAAAAAATAATGTCAATTTAAACAAACGATATTTAAGAAGGCTTTATTTCGACAATACTTTTTAAAAGTGGTTCGGGGTTACTATAATGAAATATTTAAATATGAATACCAAACTAAGCGCCGGTTACTCAATGTCTGGTTAACACTAATCTGCGGTTAAACATCGTTACCGACGTCTTCGACTCCATGCATATAACAGGGAGTCGGTAACGTCGATAACGATGTTTTACCGGAGATTAGTGTTAACCAGACATTGAGGGACCGGCCCTAAAAAGGTTAAAAAAGATTTATTACGAAAACAATTATGAGGAGGGTGTCGCGTATATAAAAACTCAAATTTAAGTGAACATTTGCAGAATGGAATATCTTTCGTCTTTACTTTTGATACTTTGAGATATTGGTATAAAACAAAGAGTGTGGTTTTTTTTTTTATTCAGACATACAATGACCATTTTCCGGAACTTCGACACAATTAGCCCACTTTTTTTAAACAAATGTATTTATTAGGGACACAAATTTTAACAAATTTTTCCAATTTTTCTTTTGTTTATTTAATATCTATTAATATTTATATTAAAATTATATTAAAATATAGTATCTTACCTAACAAAAACCATATAAATTATATTTCAAACTGTGCAAAAATTATTAAAATTCAGCAAAACTGCATCTAAGTTTGAAGTCCTAAAAAATCACTTTGATTTTTGATATTTTTATTTCTGAATATGCATACTACGCACTTTTTTCCATACAACATACTTTATATTGGAAGAAAATGCGTGAAAAATAAAACTGGGCTATAAAACTGCATACTAAAAAAAATTCTATTAAAACGTTTAGATGCAATTTTGGACAATTTCTGTAATTTTTGCACAAAGTTTGAAATATTAATTTATATGTTTTTTTCTTTAGATAGTGAGAAATACTTTTATGAAAAAAACAAAAATAAATATTAAATAAACAAAAGAAAAACAGACAAAATTTGTTAAAATGTCGTGTACTTATTTATTTTTCTAACACTGTATGTACATATGTATGTATGTGTTTAATCAGTCATAAGTTAAAAAGAGAAATAAAGCTCCTTGTCGACCAGTTTCAGGCTTAAAAAAGCACACACAAATTTACAGTTATTTTGTTTTATTGATTTTTATTGTAAGTACTGTTAAAATTTTCATTATTTCATAGTATGCTTATAAAATATGTATACTTAAGTAAATATGTATGTA